TGTATATATTATATATATATACTGTATATACATACACACAGACACAGTGTGTGGTTCAGTGGGCTAAGTCTCTGTGGTTGCCAGTTCAAGCCCCACGTTGTCACGTCTGTGGCTTCTTGAGCAAGTCCCTTAAGCCCAGGTCCCTGGGTGGTGCTCTGGGTGGCTGCCCTTCATGGCCGGCTTGCTGGGAGAGCTGTAAAGAGAATTTACCCATAGGAATCAATTAAGTGTCTAGAATTATTACGTCATTGATAGCCAAGGCATTTTAGTATTGTAGCACATTAGCATTGTGTGTGTGTGAGTGTGTTTTGTATATATATACACACACACACACATGCGTCTTTTGCATTTCATATTGCAGTTCATTTGCATGACATCATTAGTTTGATACAGAGCCTTGTACCTAGCGTCACAAATGAGGAGACTCGCTTCATTATCCACTTCACCTGTGTTCCTCTCCCTAAGTCTCCATCCATACTGGAGCAACAGCGGCTTCCTGGAGGGAGCATCCACCTTTCTCCATCAGCGCGTGTGTTTCCCAGGTCCCAGGAGGAGATTGAGGCCAAGTCTCTGGCTTGTCAGGAACCACAGTTGGCTGATTAGTATGTATGAGACACTTGAGGTTTCCAGCGAGAAGCAGCAAGGAAAATCATGGCGCACATGCAATGAGCGCGGCCTCGCCAGGCAGCGGCAGTGAGCGGCGACCACGGCCAAGTAAATTAGTTCACAGTTTGAAGTTATGCATTACTTTTATCGATTGGGGCTTTCAAAATACTCATCTCTGCTGCGGGGAGGTAGTTGGCTTTGTACTTCAACGAAAAAGGCTTTTGATGAGGCTCCTGAAGCTGAAGTGTTTAGCTACGTTCATCAATCAGCATGACACTTCCCCATAGCTGCGTTTGTGACACAAATGTGCCTATTTCCCGGTTGGAAGTGTGTGTAATGCCCCTCTGTCACAGCCTACAAACAGTTGTTGGTCGCCCTTTGCTAGGATACATCTGTTGCTAGATGAGGTGTGACAAGGCCCTGGCCGCAGTCCTTGATGACAAAACCCTCCACCCCTAGAGTATGCTGGGCTTCTATCCATTGTTCACAGCCACCACTTTGCCTAATCTACTGAAAGGCAGGAAGGCTCCCCCATTGGTGCCTTTTGGGAGGCAGGTCACATGGCTCTATGCGAGAGATATGATTGGAGGAGGGGAGCATCGTGCCAGCAGAGGTACTGAATGTTTCTGGCCGTTCGATCAGTGGGTTTGGAATGTGAGAGTCAGCTTTGAGAATTAAGAGGCTTTACTTGAATGCAGGCAAAAAGCAAATGGTGAAGAGATTAAACGGAAATGTCCGTCGACACAGCTGACCGATGTGTGGGTCATCCCCATGATGTGTGAGTCTGTGTGTGTGTTTGCGTGTCTGCATGTGTGTATGTCTGCGAATGTGTGCGTGTGTGTGCGTGTGTGTGCATTCCTCCTGGACACTCCTTCAATTTTCTATCCTTTTGTCCCTGCTGATGCATCCACACCCCCCCCCCCACTATTTCATCTGTTTCTTCCTCCTCCATTCAGCTGTGAGCTTTCACATATTCCTGATTTTTCTGTGTCTTTCATCTGTCTCTTTTCTGTCTTTCTTTCCGTCCATCCATTTCTGCTTCTCTCTCCTTTTCTTTGTCTGACTGACTCTTCCTAGCTCTGACTCTCATTCAGTTCATCTCTCATTCTCTCTCTCTGCTTATCTTCTTCCGTTTATCTTACTTGCTCTCTGTTCCTGTCTTCTATCTGCCTTTGTATCTCTCTCAGTTCCTCTTTTTCCTCTCTCCGTTCATCTTGCTCTCACTCACTTTTGTCTATCTGCCTCTATATTTTTCTATCCCTTTCTCTCTCTTTCACTCTCTCTCCCCCTCTGCTTCTCTTTTTCTACTCATCTTTCTTGCTTTCTCTGGTCCTTTCTCCTGCCTGCCTCTGTGTCTCTCTCTCCCTCTGTCTCTCTCTCCCTCTCTCTCTCTCCCTGTCTCACACCCTTCTGCCCTCCTGTAGCTCCTCCCCCTGGCTCCTAATGAGTGCCAGCCCCTGATGTTCCCCCGTCGAGGTGCTGGCTGTGCCCGTCGTCAGGTCCTGCATAAGCTCCACAAGTGCTTCACACTTCCCGTGATCTCACAGCAGCGAACGCCTCCCATTTATAGCAAGGCGGTGCCACAGCAGCCAGCACTTTGCCTTGCAGATCTAGGGTCACGGGTTCGAACATGTTTTCCTGATAGATTGCAGCCAGGGTGCTCAGCCTTCCTAAGAAACATTGTGCTGAAAGGTCCAAGCTGATCTGCTTCCTGTACTTTACTTCCTGTACATTTTAACAGCTATCAGTCATGTGACTATTACCATATTTATCAGGGTTATGAAGGGTTCAGCTGAGCTTTTGCGATGAATCACCATCCACACATCCGTCCCCTCACTGATGGGTAAGCGTTGAATTGGCACATCTGTCCTCCCCCTGCTGAAGAGTAAAATTAATCAGTATTTATTGTGGCGGCAGGTCCAGGAGGAAATTACACAGCCATGCACGTTTGTCGCTAGGCTGTGGGAGCGTCGGCCCAGTCGTTCCCCACAGGTTAGAGCGATTTGTCATCCCCAAACCTTCCCGGCGTCCCCGGGAGACAAGGACACGCATGGCCGGGAATGCAGACGACTCGGGCCATCGCTCACTCTGCCTTTCCTCTGGAGGCGGGAGTCTC